AGTTACTTCAAGGAAGCCCTCAGTTGGGTAAACGGCTTTTTTTTTTTTAATCATCATTATGCCAAATGAATGCCAAGATTCAGTCTCATTTGTTCCAAAACTGAGAAATTGTTAGTTTTATAATAGAAAGTGATTTTCTATGATACGTAGAAAAAAAATGACAGGCGCATAGCAAGAAATGAACTCTGTTCCAAGTATTGATTTTTCAAGAATAACATGTTCCTAACGAGTACCCAGCTATTGCTTTTCTGTCTGTTTGACAGAGATAAAGGATGAGGTTAAGTTAAAGGTTATATATACAATGCTGGGTATGTAAACCTCAATGTAAGTATAGTGTCATGTCCTGTATATTCAATCTAAGGTCACATTAGGGTATACCTTCCTATGACTAACAAGCATCAACTCTGATGAAACCCAACAGAATTAAATTCTAAGCTGCCTTTTATGCATGTTCACATGGAGTAAAGGGCACGATCAGGGATTCTCAAGTCTTCCAAGTTCTAAATAAGGAAAGAAGTCATTTGTCATCTGAATTAGAAGCAGTTATTGAAAATGATTTATGAAAACATCAAGAATGGAGTTCTCAAAGTAATTTTACCATTTTTAAGACATGAAAGGTGGAAAATAATTCCACATAATATCAGGCTTTGCTAATTAGGAATGCTCCAATTGTGAACACATGTAGAATTCATGTCAGCTTGCATAATGCTCAACAGTTCTGAAATCTTTTAATTCTGTATTTACTACTAATCCTACTACAACAGAACAACTTGTTATATGTTTTCCAATTCAAACTGCATTAGATAAAAATGAATTTTACTATAACCTTCAATGTCTTTTATTTGTGGTACCAAATACAACTGGCTACTGAATAAAAGGCGAAACCAGTTAAATCAAGTCTCAGGAACAATTAGGCAATTCAACATTATCCAAACACCAACCACGTGCAAGGCCTCGCTCAAGCTCAAGGTGCTGGCATAAGAAAGCAAACGCTAGGGCCAGATTTACTTGAAGGACAAACTAGGCCTTAACACCGGTGATGCTGCTTAAAGTCACACACACAAATTATTAAATAATTCTTGAGTCTGCCAACATCTGCTCGAGTGTGTATGACTGCCTCCCCATTTGTAAAGTTTAAGTACAAAGTTGCATCCTCTTGTAAGGAAGTGACTATGAAAGTGCAGTGAAGGCAGCTGCCCGATGCAGAAAGCACAGGAAGAGCCGTGCAGGGGACACACGTGCACGTGCAATATATCAAGCACATGTGAATAAAATTAAAACAAATAAACATGAATATCTTAAATATGACGCGATTTTTATGTTAATAAAAATATAAGTTTATCAAGATCACCGGGGGCCCATGCTCCGGTTAAGCCGGATGCAGCGCGGTGCCCCCGGTCTGGGCAGCGGCCCCCACCCCCCGCAAGTGGCAGAAGTCCGCCGGTCGGGACGGAGAGGGAGCTCGGCCCTTCCTTCCTCCCTCGCAGGGCGCCGGCGGTAGCCCCCGCCTAGACCGCCCACTCGGGCTGCCTCCCACGCCAGCAACAGTCCCGAGCCGTTACTCACTTTAGGACTATAGCTCCCGAAGGGTGCAGGCGGGTGCGGGGCTCCCGAGACTTCCCCGGATGCCGCATCACGCGCCGCCATCCGCGGCACCGCACCTCCATACCAACCCCGAAACCTCTGCACCGAGAAAAAAAGGCCAGATGCGCGCACGCCTGCGGATAAAAGGCCGCTGGGATCAGGGGCCAACCCTTTCCGGTGGCCGGGCTCCGCCTTTTCCGGCAGAAAGAACCTATCAGGAACTTTCCTTCCGTATCTAGGCTGGATTGGGCTTGGGAGGGGAGCTGCGCCTGGCCGAGTCTGAGAACGCTAGTCATGCGCAGGCGCCAAGGTGGAATAGCCCGAGAGGCGCGGTCTTTAAATTTCATCTAGGGGCGGAAGTGCGTCCTGGCTGTCGTCTGAGTCGTCGGGCCGTTCTTTTGGGGTGGGGGCGCCACTGCAGAAGCAGTAAATACTGGTCACCCCAGGGGGATCAAATGACATGGGTTTGGAAGAGCCAGAGAAAATGAGAAGGGAAGGCTGGAAAAAGAAGAAGGAGCTAGAAGAACAGAGAAAGCTGAGTAATGCACCAGCTAAAGTAGATGAGGAAGGGGAAGATATCAGTCCTCACATTGCTCAGTGCGTCTCTGTGCCATGGTATATAAATCCACCAAAAAGACCCGCACTAGGGAGCTAGATGGCTGTGGAGTCAGGAAGACCTTAGTTCAAATCCAGCCTCAGATACTTGCTGTGTGACCCTGGGCAAGTCATTGCCTCGGAAAAAAAAAACCCACAGTAAAGCATCAGAGACCCGAACCTGAGAAACAGAAAGAGTACAATTCATCAGAAGAATGGTATAAGAGGGGTGTAAAAGAGAATATTGTGACTACAAAATACCTCAAAGGAGCATGTGAAAATTGTGGGGCTCACACACACACACCCCACTGCTTTGAGAGACCTAGGCGCCATGGTGCCAAATTCACAGGAACTAACAAAGCAAACGATGAACATTTGCTACCTCAGCTTATGATTAATATGATGGTAAAAGGGGTGGTTGGAATGGCAAGCAACTCAGAGAAACATAGGAAGATTAGGAAGAATATGACAAAGTTAACCCAGCTAAAGGTATACTGAAAGCTCAGAAGCTGCAGGAAGAATTAGCCTCAGGGGGGCAGCTAGGTGGCACAGTGGACAGAGCACCGGTTCTGGATTCAGAAGGACCTGAGTTCAAATGTGGCCTCAGACACATAATACCAGCTGTGTGACCCTGGGCAAGTCACTTAACCCCATTGCCTAGCCCCCCCAAAAAAATAGCCTCAGGAAAGTTAATAGAACAAGTGAATTCCCCAAAACATCAGTTGGGAGAAGAAGAACCAAATTCTCGGAGGGAAAGAGACTATAACAGTGAAGATGAGGATGAAGATAAGTCTGCAGATGACATTGATATGTCTGGACAAAATTTTGACTCCAAAAGATGAATTACAGTGCAGAATCTCATGATTTGAGAAGATATTGCTAAATACTTGAAAAATTTAGATCCTAGTTCTGCCTACTATGATTCAAAAACAAGACAGGAGGGAGGGCGAAGATACACAGGCAGGTGGACCCAGGTTGGAAACAGTCTTTTTTCTCCAACGTCTCAAGCCAAGCCCCCAGACGGGCTGTGGCTGGGCATTGTTCTGCTTTCACTTGGAGGTTTTTTTGGGTGGGGGGCTTGAGAGGTGCAGGAGCAGAGAGAGAGAGAGTACAGTATGGTACAGTAAAGTTAACATAGTTTTTTTAAGAATATGGATTTCTTTCAGAATTCTTTACATAAAGTCAAATTTGTGTGATGAGAATTTATGTAAAGGGATAATTGTAATTGAAGGAAATGATAACTTTCAGTTAGAAGCTGGAAAAATAAAGATCTATTTTTTTCCCTATCCATGTCACAGACACCCCCCCCCAAATTTATCCATAGACCCCCAATGGGACCTAAGTTTAAAACCCCTGTACAAGGGAATACAACATATATGAAGATAAGAAAATACAAGATAATTTGAGGAAGAAAAAAGGCAAGCCATTTTGAGGGGAAGAGGAAAAGTTCTGCAAAGCCAGCAGTACCTAAACTGAAACATGAAGGAAGGTAAGATTTTGAAGAGGCAGAGATGGGAAAGCTATGTGACATTCCAACCATGGAAAAGTGTCTTCAAAAGCATTCTGGGGATGGGAAGTAGGTTTGATTTTTCTGGATCAAAAAGTGCATAAAGGAAAGCAATATAGAATAAGTCTGAAAAAGTAGACTGAAAAGGCCCTTGACATGCCTTACCAAAGGGGTTTGTATTTTTATCCTATAGCAGGAGAATGATATGGTTAGAAATCTTAGAAAGTAGCAATAGGTGGCAGTTCAGTAGAGGATAGATTAGAAATGGGAGCCACTGGATGGAGGAAAACCAATTTGAAATGGATTGCAACAGTCTAGCTGAAAGGTAATGAGGGTCTAGACTAGGATGGATGTGGTATGAGTGAGGAAAAAGGAATGGAAATAGAATTGAGAATGCTTGGTAACTGATTGGATGGGGAAGGTAGTGAGTACCCCCTCAAATTCCATATCATCATATGTATGACTCTCATTTGATCCTCCCAATAACCCTGGGATGTAGGTGCTATTATTATCCCCATTTTACAGATGAGGAAACTGAGGCAAACAAGTTGCATGACTTCCTCAGAATCTTATAGCCAGTAAGTGCCTGAGGCCAGATTTGAACTTAGGACTTCCGTTGGTACCTTCAACAGAAAGAGGGAAATTGGAAAGAGAGATGAGGGTGGGGGAGAAGATAATGAATTCTGTTTTGATCATTTTGAATTTGAGACGCCTACAGTTGGAGATAAATGAATGAAAAAGCATGTGTTAAGTCTTTATCATGTGCCATGTACAATGCTAAGTGCAAAAGAAAGTCCCTGCTTTCAAGGAGCTTACAATCTGTTGGGAGACATAACATGCAAACAAAAATATACAAAGCAAGCTATACACAGGATTAATAATAAATAATTAAGATAGGGAAAGCACTGGAATTAAGAGGTGTTAGGGAAGGCTTCCTATAGAAGGTGAGATTTTAGTTGAGACTTAAAGGAGGCCAGGGAGGTTTCATTTGGGCTGAGATGAGGCAGATGGCAATGCAAGACTGCTTACAAAGATAACTAAGATGTGGTCTCTTTCTTTAAGGAAGGAATTTTAGTCTAGAGGATGGATATGACAGGAATATAAAAATAAAGAATCCTAGCAGCAGAAGACATGCAGGCAGCAATTGCAGAGCCTAAGTTCTATCCTCTGGCTCCAAATCCAAATTCTAATATTTTAACTGTCCAAAAAGAATAAAAAGTCCTTATAAAATCAGCTTAAAGGGATGTAGTGGTGAGTGATAAAAGCCTGGGCAAGAGACAACAGCCAACTTGCAGTGCCAGTGGATGGGACTCTTGACCTGGAGTCAGAAAATCCTGAATTAGAATTTTGCTTCAGTCACGTACTAGCTGTGTGACCATGAGTAAGTCGCTTACTATCCCTGGGTCTCAGTTACCTCATCTGAAAATGAGGGGTTTAGACTATTCAGTTCAATTCAATAAACATTTATTAAGTGCCTACTATGTGCCAGGTACTATGCTAAGTGCTGGGGATACAAAAAGAGGCAAAAAGTCCGTTCCCTCAAGGAGCTTACAGTCTAATGGAGGAGACATGCAAAAAATATATACAAAGCAAACTATATACAGGATAAAAAGTAATAATTAACGGAGGGAAGGCACTGGAATTAAGAAGGGCTGGGGAAGGAAAATAGCAGCCGCCTGTATGGATCCTAGGTGAGAAGCCATACCCATTGGATAGTGTTTTAAAAGAAAGGGGGGAATGTGGATAAGTGGGGGGGAGTTGAAGGAGAGCCTAGATGAATTTTTTATTTGTGTTGTTACAATTTAGTGGATTTAGGTACACTGTTGGTGGAACTGTGAATTGGTCTAACCGTTTTAGAAAATATCTTAGACTTATTAAACTGTTCATATCCTTTGACCCAGAGATCTCACTACTTGGCATATACCCCAAGGAAAATAGCATTTAGCAAACGTAAACACTTGGTAAGAGCTTATTAGATTTGCTTGTTGACTTGTTGCCTTCCTGCCCTGCATCCCCGGGGTACAAAATTCTGGAAACAGAATTTTAGATTTGAGCTAGAAGGGACCTCAGAGTTCTTAGGGGCCAACCCCAGAACTTTCCTGATGAGGAAAAACCTTATTAATACTTCTATTGTCACTGTAAGGCTCTATACAAGAACATATTGGGGACTGAATTAATTCTGCAACACTAGTTATGTAAATAACCAAGAAACCCAGAGGAATATGACTCATTCAGACAGCATCAACAGAGAATGTAGGGGATACAAGGAGCTCATGGATTTACCGTGCTGTTCTCATCAACTCTTCATGGCAGTGAGGGGATGGGGATGGGGATGGTCATCACTCCCTTATTCTGCTGCTTCCAGCCTCAGCCAACCTGGGCTGTGTACATTCTCCAGAAGATGGCATTGGTCCTCTCTTCTGCCATTCTGCACAGTGTTGCTTTCTCTATGTTACCCCCTTTTAGTTCTCCACATCTCTTAGTAGCATTTGCTCATTCCTCTGCCCAGGGAAACTATGGGAGCATAGTTCATAAGATCATAGATTTACAGCTGGAAAGAACCTCACAGATCATCTGATTCAAACTGACCCAGACAGTTTAAGTGATTTGCCCAAGTTCACCCAAGTGACCTTGGCACAGGTGAGATTTGAACACAGCTTCTCTAACCAAATCCATTGCTACACTGTAGCGTATAGAAGGGTGTCTGTAGTATGTCTTTTCCTATATAGTTGTAAGAAAGAAAGACTGTCTTGGCTAAATAAGAACATGCAGAGTATTAGATCAGTTCTATGACACCAGTTGCATAAATATCCAAGAAGTACACATGCCTATGAATTAGAAACAATCAATGGAGGAAGTAATTAAATTGGACTGATTTCACCCGCTACAAGTTTATGGTACATAATATATATGGGCCTTTGATGCTATTCAACATTTCTTAAAAGCAACAGTAAAAGGGGCCATGTAACCCTGGATCTCAAGGATGAGCCTGATTGAATTTCCTATTACTAAAATCTTGTGACACAGAGTGCTTGGGTACCAGACA